AATTGTAATGAGGTGAAATAAATGAAAGTCAATTACAGATCTCTGCAATAGAAGTGAATGCATGATGCAGTATTGATCAAATGAATGATAACTATATTACAAAAAATGCCAGAGCTGTATTGAAATTATTCAGTACCTTGTATGCATTACCATATAGTATATTATCTAGTCAGTCAAGCTTTGTAAGTATAGATTTTTTTTTCTCCTGTCATAGTCCTTTATTTAAATTAACTTTATAGCCATGTAGAAATGGTAATGAGAATCTGTTACAGTGACTGGTCAACTAAATTGATGTTCATTTAGCAGAATGTTTTACTGTGTTTGAATAAAGAATTATGGATATCTAGGAGTGATTACAAAGCAGAAATCCCAGCAAGCACTTCTGACATTTAGTATTATTCCATTGTTACTGTTCTGTTACCTACTAATGATAGAGAAAGGTTGCAAACATTCTCCATCCTTTTGGAATATGATAACTTAACAATTGTGATATAACTACTCTCAGTTTATTAATAATCAAGAATTAATAATACGATCAAGAATTAATTAGCAAAAATTTAAAGCAGTATGCATAAATTATGTAGATTGTAAAATTAAACAAAGGAATTTATCCATTTTTACATAACCAACTGTAAATGTAAAATCTCAAATGTTTGCCCTTTTCTGTACAAGGGCATTGGATAAAGTTCATTTAGTGAAGCCTTTTTCCCCTCTCCTGCACCCTCTCCTGGCTAAGGGGCTAACATTTGAAAAAAGCAAACATCGAAATAAATATTAAACAAGCAGTTGTTGTTAAACCAGTACATCTAAATGCAGGACCTTTTGATGCAAAATCCAAGAAATCTTGGCACAAGATTTCCACTGTAACTGAAGCAGTGGAGTTTTATGTTAACCATAGTGTTCTAATAGTCACTCGTCATGGATTGATTAACTCTATGGGATAGTTTATTTAAAACAGTGAAACATATTATAAGTTATAAGGCAGCCATTACAGCAACTGATTTTGATGTGTGCACCTTACAAAACCATAGCAGATCAACTGCCAGGCACAGTTAGAACATTTTATACACACAGTATGTGGAGTCCTGAAAGGACAACTCTCTTAAAGGTAAGATACATGTAAAACATGGAAGTCCCAGATAGATCAGCTCCTGATCTTGGTGTATTTTATTTAGGCAGCAGTCTTCAACCAAACTTTATGAAAGTGCTGGTGTAGGAGGGTGGTGCACTTACAAAGGGTTTTCCACTTAATCAGCATTCTTGGTCATGCAAACTTATGGATCATGAGCAGGAGTAGGCTATTTTGCCCCACAGTCTTGCCTCACCACTCAGATAAGATCATGGCTGATATGATTGTAACCTCAAATCCACATTTCCACCTACTGTGGATAACCTTTCAACCCCTTGCTTAACAAGAATCTAACTGAAAAAAACATTTATAGGTACTTAAAAGGGAAAGATTTGGCTAAGATGAAGATGGATCCAACAAAAGCAGGGTCAAGAGAATTATAAAAGGGAGTAGAAAAATGGTAGAGAAGCTAAGTTATTACATTGTGTCTGTTTTCACAGAGGTATATACAAGAAATCTCCCAGATTTAGAGATCCAGATGACTAGGGAGAATAAGGAGGTGAAGAAATTATTAACAGTAAGACATTTGTACTGGAGGAATTAGTGCAAGTCGATCAGTCTTTGGGACCTGATAGTTAACATCCCAGATCTCTACAATAGAAGTGAATGCATGATGTAGTATTGATCAAATGAATGATAACTATATTACAAAAAATGCCAGAGCAGTATTGAAATTATCCAGTGTGACTATAGAGAGAGTCAATGCATTAGTTATCATATTCCAAAATTCCCTGGATTTTGGAATGATACGTACAGAGTGGAAGCTTGCAAATATCATCCCACTCTTAAGAAAGGAGCAAGAAAAAATTCAGGGAAATACCAACTCATCAGACTTAGACCATCAGTCGAGAAATTACTTGAATCCATCATAAAGGAGGTGATAATTGGACACTTCGATAAAATTATTTGATTGGGTGTAGTCATCACAGATTTATGGATGGAAAATCGTGTTTTCCAAACCTTTTGAAGTATTATACAGATAGCACCAACCAAATTGATAAAGAGAGTCGATGGATGTTCTGTATTTGGGTTTTTGGAAGGCTTTTAATAAATTCCTCCACAAGAGGTTGTTTAGCAAGTTTAAAGCATGTGGTTTACAGAGTAATGTACTCACATGGATTAATGATTGGCTAGCAGGTGAAAAGAAAGTAAAAATAAATAGGTTATTCTTACCTTTGTGGGCTGTAACTAGTTGGACACAGCAAGGATCCATACTTGGGCTGCTAGCAACTCACAATAACATCGGCACCAGATGTAATATTTCCAAGTTTGCAGCTGATACGAAGCTAAGTGAGAATGTGTGTTGTGAGGAAGAATGTTTTCAGGAAGATCTGATGAGGCTCATTGATTGGGCAGATGGAACATAATATGGAAAAATGTGAGGTTTTCCACTTCAGTAGGAAGAACAGATGTGCAGGCTATTTCTCAAATGATGAGAGTTTAGAAATTGTAAATATACATAGGGTCTTGGGTGTCCTTGTTAACTAGTGTCAGAGAGCTAATGCACAGGTGCAGCAAGCTATGAGGAAAGCCGTTGGAATGCTGGACTTTATCACGAGAATTTGAGTACACAAGTAGTGAAGTATTGCGAAAGTTGTAGAGGAACTTGGTTAGACTGCATTTTGTGTACTGTGTGGAGATTTGGTCTTCTCATCTCAGGAAAGATTCACCAGACTTATTCCCAGAATAGTGGAACTATCCTATGAAGAGAGATTGAGCAAAGGAGGCTTGTATTCTCTAGAGTTTCTAAGAATGAAAGATGATCTCATTGAAACCTATAAAATACTTCAAGGGATGAACAGATCAGGTGGAGGTAGATTTCCCTCCTTGTTAAGAGTCTAGAACAAGGCGACGCAATTTTAGAAAATGGGATTTAGGGCTGAAATGAGAATTGAGGAGAATGAAGGTGGTGAATCTTTGGGATTCTCTACTTTGGGTGTGGAAGTTCAGGTCTTGTATATTTTTAAAGGAGAGGTTTGATACATTTTTGATTAATGGCATGAAAGGTTATGGGGATAGTGTGGATAAAAGACATGGAAATGTTTGATCAGCTTTGCTGTATTAACTGGAAGAGCAGGCTCAAGGGGCTGAATGGCCTACTCTTCTTCCTATTTACCTCTGCCTTATATTCAAGGAATTTGCTTCCACCACCTTTTCAGGGAGAGAGTTCCAAAGACTCTCGACTCTCTGAGATTAAAAGAACAGTCTAATCTCTGTTCTAATGAGCGATCTATGAGTATAAAATACTGGCCCCCTAGTTCTAGATTCTCCCATAAGAGGAAACCTTTTTTCCATATCCAAACTGTCAAGGCCCTTCAGGATTTTATCTATTAAAATCAAGTTGCCACTTACTCTTCAAAACTCTAGTTGATAAAGCCCAGGCTAACCTTTCCTAAGAAAGCCTGCCCATTCCAGGTATTCATTCGGTAAAACTTCTCTGAACTGACTCCAATGCATTTACCGCCTGTACCTCACTTTCTGTTAGTCAGCCAATCTTCTATCCACACCAGTATGGATCACCTATACCATGAATTTTTATTTTCTTCAGTAATCTTTGATGTAGCATCTTATCAAACATCTTCTGGAAATGTAAGTACAATACATCCATTGGTTCCTGTTTATCCGTAGCGCATGTTACCACCTCAAAGAACTCCAGTAGATTTGTCAATCATGATTTCCCTTTCACAAAACCATGTTGACTCTGCCTGATTAACTTGACCTCACCCAAGTGCCCTGTTTAACATGGTTTAATAAAAGCTTTTAACATTTTCCCTATGATAAGTATTAAGCTAACTGGCTTGCATTTTCCTGCTTCCTGTCTCTCTCCGTTTTTTGAAGGAAGGAGTTCCATTCACTATCTTCCAATCTAATCAAATCAAGTTGGCAAATCAAGAGACTTTTGGAAAATTAAAACAAGTGTATCAACTATCTCACTAGCAACTTCTTTTAAGACCTTAGGATGAAGTCCATCAGGACCTGAGCACTGGTCAGTCCCCAGCTCCTACACTCTATTCAGTGTCCTTTCTCAGGTGATTGTGATTTTCCTGAGGTCCACCCTGCATTCCATTTACTAACGTTTTGTGGCTTTGGGATGTTACTTGTATTCTCTATAGTGAAGACTAATACAAAATAACTGTTCAATTCATCTGCCTGGTCTTGAAGAGAGGTATCAGGGTGATGGTGAGTCTTGTCTGTTATTGAAATTAAGAGGAAGGATGGGCAGGCTAGCCTAGGTACCTTGGCAATCAAAAAACAAAGCAGTGAACATTGAAATATATATAACTGCACCTTCCAACTTGTCTTACAAAGAGTGACAGTTGGGTGCAATGTCTGACTTGTTCCAGAAAGCAATCCTCACATTTCACAGCATTCGCCTTTCCCATTGGCTGGTCATTGTGTTATTGCTCAATGCTTTCTAAGTGGGCAGGTACCGCAGTGATGAGCTTGAAATCAAAGTACCTTTCCCCAAACTTCCTGCTAAGTGCACAATAAGTAAGTTCAGTGATAGCATTAGGTAATCCCAGTATTTATGGATGCATTTGTGTAGTGATACTTTCTGTCCCAGGGTGTTTTGTCGGCAAACACTGCAAAAGTCCTCATTAAAATACTAGTCTGTAGGTTTTCTGTGACAATGTCATTGTTGCAAACAAATCATTGTCATTTGTTGTAGCACTCAAATGTATCTACATAAGGAAGCTTGAGTTGCTTGTTTAAATGTTAATATATATTTCTTAAAATTTTAATAGATTATGGAAACTTGCAGAAATTTGAAAAAGAAATCAATTGCTGTTTCTTTAAAAAGTACTAAGTCTAAAATTTGTGTGGTTTTACATTATGTTTTGGTCTAATTTCAACGTTTCCCTTGATTTAGTATTTGATATGCAAAAGAAAGCTGGAGAGCAAGAAAGAAGCTCTTTTGATTCTCTCCAAGGAGCTTGATACATGCCAACAAGAACGGGACCAGTACAAACTAATGGCTAATCAGCTTCGGGAGCGCCATCAATCATTAAAGAAAAAGTACAGAGAACTAATAGTAAGTTGCTATTTTAATACATCCTAATTATAATGTAAAAGTGGATTTTAAAAAATAAATTATTAGGAAAATGTTATTTGTAATTTAGTCTTATTTCAGGCTTCTTAAGCTTTTAGGGTGAATTTATGCACTAACCCAAGATTGAATTTTCTTACTAACCCAAGACTGAATTTCCATTTCATTAATATTAAAGCTGTTGTGTAATCAGTGATCCAATCCAGAAATGTAATGATGGATCATATTAGAGCAAGGGAAGTAAAACCCATTATAGCTGGAGGTTGCACATCCAGTTGCAAATCTTGGACTGTGCCATTAATGTGGCCTTCTACAGTTCAAATTGAAAATTACACAAAAAGGGATTACATTCTTGACCATTGCCATGTCACAGTAGCAAAAGGCTTCAGGTGATTTCAGAATCAGGAAACAGAACTAGATTGGGGAATTGTGCAAATCAGAGCCCAGAACCTGCTATGAATTTGATAGATTTTTTTACTGTGTAAAATATGAACCAATTGTACTATCTGGCTTTGAATTGGCAGTCTAAAATAAACAACCTATTAGCATGTACCTTCTTCATAATATGTTAGATTTTTTAAAAATCTGGATTGTTTGTCTTTGCAAACCTGTCTCTAATGCAAACTCTTCTAAATGTATGAATCTTTCTTCATAAATTCCATCTCTTTTAAACATATCGTGGCTGATAATTCATGATCTATCCAAATAATGTTTCTGGGTGGAGCTTGGTACCACAAAACTGGTGTGCTGCCCTGCAATATCTGGGACAGTTAATAACTCAAAATGTGCATCTAGTTTGGCCATCCACTTGTGATATTTAAATAATGCGAGGTTCCTCTATCCTTGGAAATCACAGGCAGGTATGTTCCTGTTCAGCTGCGATGTGGCCTACATTATCCAATATTTCATATTTGATCTGGCCAATGATCAGCATAAAGTTGGAACATCCTGATTCCACTTAGCCATTGATGCTTTTTTGTGAATAAACCTCATTATTTTTTCAGTGAGCCAAACATATAAAAGCAACATCAAATGCCTAGTGAAAATCCAAACAGAGTGGATGTAATGGAGTATTCTGTATAATCATTTTAGTTAAAGCTTCAAAGAATTCCAACAGATTGTAATTCGTTTTCGGAGTTTCCTGGCTGGCTGTAGTGTTCCTTAAATAAATCTTGATGATTTGCCATAAGCTACTCTGAACTAGTTTATTTTTTTTTTCTCATAACCAAACAGCCTAACATTGGTCAAATCTAGAGTTCATGACAGGCTCCTCACTGAAAAGTTAGCACAGGAGGAGGCCATATGGCCCATTCTGTCTGTGTTAGTTCACCAGATGAGCATCTGACTTTGAGCCATGTTGTGAATGTTGTTTTATTCAGTGTGCTCTTAGCATGGCAGATTATGTCACATTTTACTGTATGTCTCAAATGACCAGCTATCTCTGCGGATTGGCTGAAATATGGACAGACTGACAGAAGCTAGCAGTAATCAACCAATAAACCAGACAAAGCCAACCAAGTTTCTTATTTAGTTTTCTAAAACTACTGATCATGCAACTGCAAATTGTTTAAGATTTTTTCCTGCCTTTGTTTAAGTAGTCATGTTATCTTCCCAGCCAGCAAACTATCCAGATGTTAACAACCAAAAATCATATCAGAACAAGTTAAAATAATGAACAAAGTTAACAAACAACATAGCCTATCCATAAATCCAGAAGAAAACTTGTCCAATGGATAATTTGCAGTAGGAGATTTGGGATTTAAGTTTTGTTCCTTCCTGAAAGTTGTTTCCAATATCTTTATTTCTGGGATGGGTGATCTTGGATTCTACATGTGTGATGTTAATGCCTACCAGCAGATGGCTTGCTGCAGCATCCCTTCTGTTTACATTCTTGAGTATCGGGTGCTACTGCATCATCCAGTTGCTGTTATGTGCCAGCTTCCCCCATAATCCATCTCTTGCCATGTATTTGTTAGATTTGTATCTTCCTATATCAATAATGTAGCTTCTGCGCTTACGTATGTCTGTGGCTTATCAAAGCTTAAAGAGAAATTGCAAAGAGCGAAGTATAAATACTGTGGCTATAAGAGTAGGGCAGAGGCTATGAATTCTATAGCAAGTAAATTACCTTCCATCCATAAAGCCTGCTCACTATCTACAATGCGTGGGCCTGGTGTGTGATCAAATACTCTGCACTTAGCTGGATGTGTTGCTCCAACAACATTCAAGAGGGTCAACATATTCTCAGAGAAAGCAGTCTGCTCGATTGACACACCATCCCACCACCATAAATCGTCCCTCCAACCTCCACTACCCACAGTGGCAGCAGTGTGAACAATTTACAAAGTGTACTATAGCAATTCACAGAGGTTCCTTTGAAAGCACCTTCCAAACCAGCAATCTCCAACACCTAGAAGAATAATGACAGCAAATCCTTGGGAACACCACCATCTGTAAGTTCCTGTCCGACTCAAACATCTCCTGACTTGGAACTAGATCCCTGTACCTCCATTATTGCTAGGTCGAAAACCTGGAACTCCCTTTCCCATAGTGTAATTACTTGATCAAGGACAGTTAGGGATAGGAAATAATTGCTGGCCTTGCAATACTAGTGGTGATCAGGCTCTGTAAATTTATTGGTAATGCAGAATGTATTTCAGAGTGTCATTCTTAACACCCAAACTATTCCCATAACCATCAAAAATTAAAGGAAGGAAAGAACTTACAAGGAGACATAGAAAAAAGGGTACATTTTTAACACAAAATTATCTTTCCACGCAACTGGGCTTTTGTTCATCAGATCCATGACAATCAAACAGGACAAACCAGTTTAAGCAGAAATAGGATTCAGTTGCTAGATTGCCAAAACATTGTTTATTTGGTGGCAATTCAGTAGTCATGAGATATCCATGAATGCAATGTATGTCGAGGAGGCGAAGGATAAGGAGAATAATTTAGAATCTTAGAATTCCCAGAGAGTGGGAACAGGCTACTCAGCCCAACATGCCCACACTGACCCTCCAAACAGCATTCCATCCAAACCCATCCCCCTACCCTTTATTTCCCGTGACTAATGCACCTAACTTACACATCCCTGAACACTAGGGGCAATTTGGCATGGCCAAACCACCTAACTCGTACATCTTTGGACTGTGGAAGGAAACCGGAGCACCCAGAGGAAACCCACGCAGACACGGGGAAAATCTGCAAACTCTGCACAGTCACCTAAGGTGGAATTGAAACCAGGTCCCTGGTGCTGTGAGGCAACAGTGCTAACCACTGTGCTACTCTGTTGCCCATGGCTATCTGAAGTCTTACCTCTTCCATATTGATTGTAATTATTCTCAAAAGATATTTGTATGGTTAGGGACCTGAATTTTCTTTAGCTCTGCATATCTTTAAAACACTTTCCTTTACCTTTTTACATTTTTTGATCAAAGTGTGCAGTTGTGGTCTGAATGTGTTTCTCTCTGCAGGGAGACATGGCTGCTTTCTATGGTTAATTCCAAACAGATGCACAATCTAAAACTTTCATTCTGCTTTTGTTTTCTTTCTTAATCTTCCCGAATACTCTTTTCATAGTTGGAAAAGTTAGTGCTTTAGTCTTAGAAGCTTACATTATTACTTTTGGCCTTGATTTTAATTACAGTGTCAAAACTTATTGTATCAAAAAAATCCCTGGTACCAAGTATTCACCCAGTTCCAGTTCACTGCTGAGTTGTGGTAGACGGCTGAATACTAAATGCAATGCAGCAACTGCTCTTGTATTCTGTTCACTTGTGGTAGTTAAGAGAGATTGTCACTTTAGAATTGTTAATATTTTACCTTCTCTCTTGGTTGTTCCTGGTTCTGTTTCACTTCAGCTTTACTTGAGCTGGCAGTTGACAGGAATTCCCAATTAGAATATGTCACATTTAGCAATATTAATTTCTATCCATGTTCATGCATTTGCCCCTCCACAGTTGTATCTTTCCCCTTGATAGATGTTAAATTTCTCGATTTCTACTCCTTGTTCATCTCTTATGTGATATTTCTGTACTTCAGTGAAATGTAGCAGTTTTTCTTAATTGTTTCTTCACTGTTTATCACATCGATGTGATTGCATAAAACTGCATAAATGTATTGCCGTGCAGATCAAAAGCTGCAATGTATTTCAGTGGCTCATTCTTTACGTTCCCAACTATACTCCCTTTAAAAAAAAAGAGTTGGAAAAGAGAAAATCTTACATTTGGTTCTTTGTTTTAACATTATAACAGTGCTCAGTTCATTGTTTGAGGAAAAATTTATCTGTAAGCGTTGGATTTCAAATTGTGTGATTCATATGTAAATGGTTTCTTTACTGGAGCTCGAAGATAGTAATTCTGGTATGTTGATGCAGCAAATTTGTAATGCACTCAAATAAGTCATAAGAATTCTGATCATGCTGCATACTGTCATGCTTTTATTAACATCAGCTCTGCTCATATTATGGAAAGCTGGTTTGTCTCCTTTGGAGCTGAGTATATATCATGCATTTGTAAAATTGAGTGCAGTCAGACCTTACGTATGTTACACCAATTACACCCTGCCAGTTAATACAGTTGAGTTGTATTTGAGAGTAGAATAGAAAAAGAAATGCTCAAATTGACAAGTAAACTCGCTGTAATATATTTTACTGTTTCAAAACAACAGTCCTTCTAACTGTGAAGGGAAAGAAAATCTACTGAAATCCTCGATCCCATGACAGATTGGTTTCTATTGATGTTGCTCATGGAGTAAAACTGTCTCTTTCTATAAATGTCTTCCTCATTCATTCCTTTTTTCCAATTCTTTCTCTGTTCCTTTTTGACTTGTGTAATTTTGCTCTATCTGGCAGCAACGCAATCCAGGCCAAATACTGCACTGTCAGTTTAGACTGAATCGTCAAAGAAATGGAAGGTGCCATCGGTAATGCTATCAGTGGCACCTGTACGATAACAGCCTGCTCACTGAGGCACAGTTTAGGT